GGCGAAATATCAACATTTCCTGGAAAAAAGATGTTGGGTCCCTTGGTCTTCTCTGGTCCGACACTAAGGCGCCATCATGATTTAGTGACCATCACTGCCTGGGTCGTCTGGGATGTTGAAGCGGACTCGCTTGGCGAGCATCTTGGCCTTACAGACTGTAGCCACCTTGTGATCCTGTTGTTTGTGGGATGGTAGAATTGCTATTAATATATATTAGGGACCAAGCCGAAACCGAACAATTTTTGATTGGATGTGAAACAACTTGAGTGCCCGTTTAAAGTTAAAACTTTTGATCCAACACAAAGAAATCTCTCACCTAGAGCTTTCGACCAGTCACTCTGGTCTTCCTCAGTAGACTGACCAGTGTTGACGTCACACTTCAAAGAAGCCACGTGACAAGCTTCACGGGGTCAGTCTACTGAGGAAGACCAGAGTGACTGGTGGAAAGCTCTAGGTGAGAGATTTGTGTTGGATCAAAAGTTTTAACTTTAAACATGTAACTACCAACATAGATGAACTTTCATGATAGAACTTGAGTGCCTTTTTGGGTAGAACAAGGTATAGTCATGCGTCGAAATACAACACCGATGTGCATTTATCAAGTTTGTAGCAATGAAAGTCGCTGCATTTCTAATATCAGTGAGTAGATGGCGTTGTCATACCTGGCGGCGTTCAGCGGCGAGGTTCGCCTCCAGGCGCTTCTCAAGCTGTTTGGTGCTCTGGGATGCTCGTGTAGCGATGGCATCCGCGTCATAGGTTGGAGTGATCTCAAACGCGGTGCTGGTCATCTCTCTCGCCTCCTTCTTGGTCTTGATACCAGCTGCTTTCTCGGCAAACTTCTTTGAAATCATGGCTGTCCTCTTCGCCAACAGCTCCTGTAATGATCGTACAAAAAACGGATGATCAACAATGTACCTGAAATAGCTTTCCTTATTTTTGGTTCTATCCGATCCCCATACTAGTAATCTATGATGTGCTCGTCTGACTCAGTGTTCAATTGTGCCATGTCCACCCGTGTCTTCGGCCAATTCGAGAGTAGGACCATATCCTTACCTGTCTCCTAACTTCCGCGTCACTAAGCTGCTTCTTCAGGTCACCACGGGACTCAGGGCAGCTTTTCTTCACCTTCTCACGTCGCTCCTCTAGTCGCCTCTCCATTTCCTTCTGCCTATCCTGGTGGCGCGGAGGTGTGCCGGGGTTCTCTGTGGGTACCTGGCCGGGTAACAACACACCCTCATCGCGTAGCTGGGCCAGGATATGGTCTGAGGACCTGTCCGGCCGCGGCTGGGACATCACGGGGACCGGGGGACTGGTTACGGGAATCACTGGTGGTTCTGGAACAAAGTTCAACTCGTGAAGCACATCTATCCGTTTAACGTTCAGTCCGTAGGGATGGACGGATTTGTGTCACGTTAGACCACATATGCTAGTGACAATTTTGAACATGTTTTGTTGCTTTCTTTGATAGTTTCCTCAATCAAAAAACATATTACGGTACTAACTCCTGAGCATAGAAAAATGAAGTAGATTGAATCTTCTGGGACATATACGGCCGTCCGCATAAGACTCGGATCTTCTCTTGTGTGCTTGTATGCCCGGCGGTACACAACTCAACCAGGTACACTATAGAGACTGTTACAAAGTTGCCGTAACTTACCAGCTTTCTCCCGGTCCACGGTCTCCTCGGAGTCATCTACAGGATGAACCTTGTTGGGTTTGATATTCAGACAACAGGTGAAAATGGAAAGAATTTTGGACCACATGATCACTGTGTGTCGGACCGTGTCTTGTCGAACGGTGTCTGAAACTTTGTTGTTCTAAACAAAGCTTGGAGATGGAATATGACGTCAGAAACGACGTACGTTCCAGAATGGTTGGCCCATTATTGCGCGAGTACATCCTTTCAACTTTGACCGAAATTACAAACTTGTGATGTATTTGTCTCCGTCGACTCAGGACTTGCTTGAACTAAATTGCCATATTCCGCTTTCATTGCAGCTGAGATGGTCGTATACAAGATTCTTTTTTGACACAACAAAAGTACAGGGACTTTTGTATGGTCTTCTGAACTAGAGATCTAACAAAGCTAAATACATGTGTGGATAACGTCATCTTACGTACAGAGTATATGTATGCGGTAACAAAAAAGGTTTAAATATTCTCTAACATGTGGTTTCTAAGATCGAAACATTCTTTAATGTATTTTCCTATTTGAACACTGTATTAGTTATCCGAGTCCCCTGAGAATGTAGTTGAATTTATCTATGGGATCTAACGTATTGAAATCAATTGAACAAGCGGAAAGAAAAGTGAACAGCAATAGGCGCTTATCACTGTAAAGTGTACAATCCATTATGAAATGGTTGTACGTAGTATGACATGATACAGGGTTCACGTTAATTAACAGTTATATATAGGCGTTGTCGGCCCTCCTGAATTCACCGTTAACTTAAAATGATGTGAACAGCTAATGAAGAATGGGGTTTAACAAGAGTAAAATCAGGTACTTTAGATGTATAAAAAACTGTAGACGACCAGAGTAGGACTCAACCAAGTGAAGACATTAGATAGGCAGGGAGGAAAAATTAAATTAGTTTAAACTAAACCTTAATGAGGCACGGCACAAATAAAAAAAAATGGAGTACAGGGAATATTAACTTTTATTAGGCAGCAACTGGTGATACAATGGTAATTATAAAGTAATACAATGTACCAACTGGTCATTGTTAAGAAATCAAACTTCTGTCCAAAACTCTTATTTTCATGTAGGTTGTGTAAACTTTTAGCTGTCAAACTCTACTGCTCTGGTTAACTATGATACAAACCCATGAATTTTCGAACAACATTAAACGATACTATTTGATGAGCTGTACCATATCATGCAAATTGCAAATATTTTGTATCCTCCAGTGTCCAGTGTCTATGGGTACTTTGATACTTTATAGTGCGATCGGGGGAAAGAATTCAACATAACTTTGTATAAAAACAATTAACTTTTTTTTGTAATAAGGTCTCAAAGAAGAACAAGACCGTTTTTGCGCAGTGCTGTAAATCACAACGGTCAATATATCAAAAACTGGCGAAATATCAACATTTCCTGGAAAAAAACGTTGTTTCCTGAGTGTGTATAAACACAATTCTGGTAAAACGTTTTAAACGTAAACATTTTTTTTGTTTTTTTTTTTTGTTTTTTTGTTTTTTGTTTTTTTAATAAGGTCTCAAAGAAGAACAAGAACGGTTTGCGCACTGCTCTGAATCACAACGGTCTGTAGTTATCATATACTGGCGTAATATCAACATCTCCTGGAAAAAAAGATGTTGGGTCCCTTGGTCTTCTCTGGTCCGACACTAAGGCGCCATCATGATTTAGTGACCATCACTGCCTGGGTCGTCTGGGATGTTGAAGCGGACTCGCTTGACGAGCATCTTGGCCTTACAGACTGTAGCCACCTTGTGGTCCTGTTGTTTGTGGGATGGTAGAATTGCTATTAATATATAGTAGGGACCAAACCGAAACCGAACAATTTTTGATTGGATGTGAAACAACTTGAGTGCCCGTTTAAAGTTAAAACTTTTGATCCAACACAAAGAAATCTCTCACCTAGAGCTTTCGACCAGTCACTCTGGTCTTCCTCAGTAGACTGACCAGTGTTGACGTCACACTTCAAAGAAGCCACGTGACGAGCTTCACGGGGTCAGTCTACTGAGGAAGACCAGAGTGACTGGTGGAAAGCTCTAGGTGAGAGATTTGTGTTGGATCAAAAGTTTTAACTTTAAACATGTAACTACCAACATAGATGAACTTTCATGATAGAACTTGAGTGCCTTTTTGGGTAGAACAAGGTATAGTCATGCGTCAAAATACAACACCGATGTGCATTTATCAAGTTTGTAGCAATGAATTGAATGTCGCTGCATTTCTAATATCAGTGAGTAGATGGCGTTGTCATACCTGGCGGCGTTCAGCGGCGAGGTTCGCCTCCAGGCGCTTCTCAAGCTGTTTGGTGCTCTGGGATGCTCGTGTAGCGATGGCATCCGCGTCATAGGTTGGAGTGATCTCAAACGCGGTGCTGGTCATCTCTCTCGCCTCCTTCTTGGTCTTGATACCAGCTGCTTTCTCGGCAAACTTCTTTGAAATCATGGCTGTCCTCTTCGCCAACAGCTCCTGTAATGATCGTACAAAAAACAGATGATCAACAATGTACCTGAAATAGCTTCCCTTATTTTTGGTTCTATCCGATCCCCATACTAGTAATCTATGATGTGCCCGTCTGACTCAGTGTTCAATTGTGCCATGTCCACCCGTGTCTTCGGCCAAGTCGAGAGTAGGACCATATCCTTACCTGTCTCCTAACTTCCGCGTCACTAAGCTGCTTCTTCAGATCACCACGGGACTCAGGGCAGCTTTTCTTCACCTTCTCACGTCGCTCCTCTAGTCGCCTCTCCATTTCCTTCTGCCTATCCTGGTGGCGCGGAGGAGTACCGGGGTTCTCTGTGGGTACCTGGCCGGGTAACAACACACCCTCATCGCGTAGCTGGGCCAGGATATGGTCTGAGGACCTGTCCGGCCGCGGCTGGGACATCGCGGGGACCGGGGGACTGGTTACGGGAATCACTGGTGGTTCTGGAACAAAGTTCAACTCGTGAAGCACATCTATCCGTTTAACGTTCAGTCCGTAGGGATGGACGGATTTGTGTCACGTTAGACCACATATGCTAGTGACAATTTTGAACATGTTTTGTTGCTTTCTTTGATAGTTTCCTCAATCAAAAAACATATTACGGTACTAACTCCTGAGCATAGAAAAATGAAGTAGACTGAATCTTCTGGGACATGTACGGCACTGACTCGGATCTTCTCTTGTGTGCTTGTGTGCCTGGCCGTACACAACTCAACCAGGTACAATAGAGATTGTTACAAAGTTGCCGTAACTTACCAGCTTTCTCTCGGTCCACGGTCTCTTCGGAGTCATCTCCAGGATGAACCTTGTTGGGTTTGATATTCAGACAACACGTGAAAATGGAAAGAACCTTGGACCACATTGTCACTGTGAGTCGGACCGTGTCTTGTCGAACGGTGTCTGAAACTTTGTTGTTCTAAACAAAGCTTGGAGATGGAATATGACGTCAGAAACGACGTACGTTCCAGAATGGTGGACCGCATTATTGAGCGAGTGCTTCCTTTCACCTTTGACCGAAATTACAAACTTGTGATGTATTTGTCTCCGTCTCAGGGCTTGCTTGAACTAGAGTTAGCATAGCACGGAAACAGATATTTAAGCAAACTTCCCGCAACATGTTAAGAAGTATTTAAGGTGAGAAAATATTTCAGTAGACTTTACGACTTCGTAAAGGCTGCTGAAAGGCAAATTCCGCCTTTCCGTCACCTTTCAGTGCGCTTAAGTACGACGTAAACATATTTCATATCTTTACGCTTCCTTTACAAATCCGTAAAAGTTGTCGGCCCTCCTGAATTCACCGTTAACTTAAAAGGATGTGAACAGCTAAGGAAGAATGAGGCTTAACAAGAGTAGAATCTGGTAGTTTAGATGTATTAAAAAACTGTAGACAACCAGAGTAGGACTCAACCAAGTAAAGACGTTAGATAGGCAGGGAGGAAAACTTAAAACTAAACCTTAGCAAGACAGGGCACTAAATAAAAAATTCGACTTTTTTCATATTTGGCTGTATGTTCACTCACAAAAACACGTTTAAGTTTCGTCGTCATTTTTATTGCAACTTGAATGACCATCCTGCCAATTACAGAATTTGAAATGCCTGTCAATAGTGGCAAAATCCTGTCTATAACAGAACTTCAGAAGAAAATGCACTGTTGACAGGGTGATCTTGTCAAAACTGCACAAAAATCTGTCAATAGTACAACATTTTCTGTTATAATTTGACAGAATTATCCTGTCAATAGCCATTCCCATGAAATTGCAGGTAACGCTATTGTCGCAAAACCACAACACATGACGTCATCTGCCGCAAAATGCCAGGTAGGTCCAAAGTTCACCCATCCAACATGGCGGCGTATCGGGTCGGAAAGTGTTTGGAGTTGCGAGACCTCATAGACTTGGAGTCCGAGGGACACTTCTACCAACAATACTTCCTCCTGAGCTCCGTCCTCAAGCAGATCAACCACCTGAGAGAGGAGGGGAGCTTCTGCGACGTGATTTTGAGGATCCGGAACCGAGAATTTCGCGCGCACCGTCTGATTTTGTCGGCGTATAGTGACTATTTTCGCTCGATGTTCAGCAGTTTTTGGGCGGAGAGTGGTCAAGCAGTGGTCAACCTACAGGACGACTACGTCACCCCGGACGCTCTTGAGGCCGTTCTGAAGTTCATGTACACCACAGAGGTGGATATCACGGCAGAAAACCTGTGTAGTATCCTCCTAGCCGCTGACCATCTCCAAGTCAAAACTTTGACGCAGAAAGTCGACCAGTACTTGCAGGAACGGTTCCAGAACGACCCTGGTGGATTCGGTGTCGACGAATACATCGAGATTTTGATCTTGTCCGAGCGATTCCAGCTGAATGCCAGCTTTGACGCCGAGCAGCATGCGGCACTCAAGTTCCTAGAACTGTCGAGGTAATTAAAAACAGACCATCATTTTCCTGATGTGTATAGTGTTTTTGTTATGACGCAGTCTTTGTGGGCGTGGCGCACTCGGTGCATGCATTTGATGTTAATGTAATTAGTACACTTTCCTGTTTTTCCAGTGCAAGCCCCCACGTTGTCAGTCACTCATGTAAATTGTATTGGCTCTTTTAATCCACACTGTCATCATTTAATTATAACTAGATGTAGAACATTTAATTAGTGTTAGGCCATGTTGATTTGATTACATGGATGACATCCTCTTGGAAACCCAAAACTGATGCAAGCGTGTGAATAAAAAAGTTTGTCAAAAAAAGCCTTCATTATGAAATCTACATGGTCAAGAAAGTTGAACAAATGACACGGGGTAGGGTATGGCAAATAATCTACTACTAGTATTCAATTCAATTCATTTCTTTACATTTTGCGTCTTTTTCGTTTGTTTTTGGCATTCTACAACATTGGTATCGTTTTCCAATATTTTTTTTGTCCAACATACAGTGTACTTTTGCTCATTTTGCAACTGTTTTGTACGATTTACAGCAATGTTGAAAATTTTTTTTTTTGGAAACGGCCAAAAATTCATGTGCGCGTGGATGTCATCCATATAATCAAATCAACATGGCCTAAGCCTTACTGTTGATCAATTGATTGATTGATTGGTTACTACACAGGAAAGAAGACTTCTATGAGCTGCTGACAGTTGAAGCCCTGGAGGCCATCCTTGCGCTGGTAAACCCTCTGCACCCATTCGCACAGCAGATCATGCGCAACATGAGGGGCAGTGTGTGGGGGCCCGAGTGGGAGCCTGTCTCACAGACACAGGTAAAGTGTTCTGTCATAAAAATCTTAAAAAGACACCACAGAACTGGAGAAGTAACATTTGCAAAGCAAATGCATAATGTGTACCTTCGGACATGGTCTGCTCTGTTAATTCTTACTCAAACACATTCATATATATGGTGACAGGAGTCTAAATCCTCCTGCTATAAAATTGCAACACTAGTTACCATGGTGACAGATGTCTGGTTCAGGTCATTGACCTTACTTGTTTGGAGAAGAAGAGGAAACTGAGCAAAAACAATGTTTTCTTTCTGTAAACATAAATATAGTATCCCACATGTATCAAGGACTATACTGCAAATGTACAAAAATTAGAAACATAGATGTCACAACACACCAAGTGCTTTTTTGTAAAAAGTACATAATAAGATTTAACAAAGAATGAATAAAATACTAGTAAATAGATAACGCAACATCTACATGTAGGTTCAATCATGCTCTTTGGAATGACACTGCCAAACTTTTCAACTTGCAATCGTTACAATGCTCTAAATTTTACAACAATAGACCAATCCTGAAGCCTCCGTCAAAGCAAAGAAATGCAAATATTTGATGGACATGCAGCCGCGCTCTCATTGGTCTAGCCAGTAATTGTCACTCTCTCATTGGTTGAACTTCTAATTGTGTTTCGGGATTGGTCTATTAAGTAAGGGTTCTATTTCCCAGGTTTTCCAGGCTCTGTCATTGGTCAAGCCAGCAATTGTCACCCTCTCATTGGCTGAACTTCTCATTGTGTTTTGGGATTGGTCTATTAAGTAAGCTCTGTTTCGCAGGTTTTCCAGGTTCTTCTGAAGTGGATTGACCATGACAGGAAACAGCGTGTGGAACTGGCGGCGAGACTGCTCCACAAAATCAACCTGGACTCTGTGGACCCACGGGACCTGCGCACGGCCAAGAAGAAACTCCAGGTAAAACTAACTACAGTCAAACCTGTCCAAGCCGGCCACCTATAGGGGACCAAAGAAAAGTGGTCACCTTGGACAGGTGGTGTCTTTGAAGAGGGTCGCCTCGCAACATGACAGAGACGTAAATGGTTTCCAAGTCGAGATGTTTTGATATCAAAGCTGTAAGCATCTTCAGTTCTGTGGTGAATGCATGTGGGGAGGGGGGCACATGGAACAATTTGCCTCAAACAAAAGCATCATCCAGCAGTCTGGTTTCTCCATTATTTTTCATTAGTTATCATCAATAATCAACATGATCAAAAATGATGTGGTCACCATGGACAGGTATCGGGCCTTGGACCCAACTCAGGGCGGTTGCGGTCGTGTTGGCCAGGTGGTCACCTTGGACAGGTTGTTTTAATGCTTGTGTCAATGGGGAAAAATTTTGGGACCGAGAAAAAGCGGTCACCATGGGCAGGTGACAAGCTTGAAGAGGTAGTCACCTTGACAGGTTTGACTGTGCATATACATAGTTATCCTAGGAGGGGTTGTCTGTACTAAGGACTTACACATTTAAACTTCATGAAACTTGACTTGCGAATGTATAGTTGGACTTGTTTCCAACAACCACAGGAATGAGGAGAAATGCTTGTGGACTGGATGTGGTTGCTTCATAAAGTAGTTTAGCATTTAGTACTACGTAGTTTTAGATTTATTGTTGGTATGTATGTATGTATGTAGTATGAATTCAGCTTATTGACAGAATGTACTGCACCTGCATGAAACCTGTAATGTATATTGTGCATAGCACTTTGGCAGAACGTCTCTTTTAAGATTGCATTCAGATATTTAAGGATGACATCCCGTCTCTAGTTCTCAAATGTTGTATCAGAAAATATGACATCTGATTCTGAAACAGACAAAATTCTCATGCAATGTTGTCCAAACCAATGAAAAGTAAACCAAATGCAATGAAAATTGTGAAAAATTTGCACAAATACAGTACATTCTGTTGATGAACTGTATTTGTTGATGTACAGTTGATGTACAGTTGCATACTCATGCATATGGATGATATGATAAAAGGCACATGTAGCACTACTCTAGCACAGTTTCAATATTACAAACACAGTCTAATGATGATGCCTCAGCATATGCATGTTGTGTAAAACTGTGCTTGCATTTGTTGGTCTGGTGTACATAGGAGGTGCCAGAGTGTGTGTGCATGCTGCACCAGGCTATAGTGGAGGTGTATGGTGAGGAGGCAGACTCCCCCCTCCCCAGTCTGGACCAACTGGACATCTCTCTGTCCACTCTGGACATGGCACAGTACTGTCCAGTGGCAGGGAATCAGGTGGGACAAACCCCAGGCTTTAAATTAGTTTGGCTGTAGTAAATACAAATACAATTTGTATACGCAAGTTTTACCTGTCACCAATACTTTAGTGCAGGTGAAATTGGAGCTTTACAGGTATTTTTTTTACATGCCTTGGACCTTGCTGCATTGAACCGTTCATAAAACCAGTTTGCAATAGTAGGGTCACATATGGCCAGTAGTGGCCCTAAAAATAAAATGCCTTGCAGTCTTTGTAGAGGCATATATAATAAATTATTATATATATACTTATATATAGATTACAAGTTTCAAAATCTTACTGCCAGGAACAGTTTTGAACATTGTTTTTGATGGACTTCGGAATTGGTTTGGCTCAAGGTAACTTGAAACTGAAAGAGTTCCCAGTATATCCCTTATGGTATACTCACTCTCTTGTTCATTTGTTTAAAGTCCTGTGTATTTGTTCTGTGGTTGCAGGTGTTGTTAGCCATGGGAGGATACAGCCCCAATGCTCACTACTACGACCCTGTACAGAAGGACTGGTTCTCCCTGCCCAAGCTGCTGTACCCGTGGAAGACCTGCCTTACCGAGGTCTGTCTGCATCTGTATCTGTATAGCCGGTATAACCGCCATTCGGCGTAACACACCAGCTTCTGTATCTGTATAGCCGGTATAACCGCCCTTCGGCGTAACACACCAGCTTCTGTATCTGTATAGCCGGTATAACCGTCCTTTGGTGTAACACACCAGCTTCTGTATCTGTATAGCCGGTATAACCGCCCTTCGGCGTGACACACCAGCTTCTGTATCTGTATAGCCGGTATAACCGTCCTTTGGTGTAACACACCAGCTTCTGTATCTGTATAGCCGGTATGACCACCCTTTGCCTTAACACACCAGCTTCACAGGCATGCGGTGTGGCAGCAGCTGGCTATATTATACCGATTGACTTGTTACACCTAACCCTTGAACATCTAACTCTACACATTGTTGATGATAATGCTCCTACTGTACTTGGTGACAGCAAGTTCCACTCTGCGATAGTTCTAGGAAAGAATGAATTCTTGAGCACCTTAATCCTTGGTTGATAACTCTGGTACTTGAAGGCATGGCTACAATTGTATTTCTTGTTCTCAGGTCGGCGACTGTCGCTGTAACCCTTCCCTCCTCTGCGTGGGAGATTCCATCTACGTGTTCGGGGGGGAGACCAGCAGTGGGCTGGGCGTGCAGGAGAACCTGCGGTACAACATCTCCACCAACAGCTGGGACGAGATCCCGCGAGTCGGCTACCACTTCCGCCCTGCGTGTGTCCTGCTGGGCGACTGTATCTATTTGATCTCCTCGCATCACAGCTTCAAGTTACACGTCCCGTCCCTTCTGTGGAGCGAGGTCTCGCACCAGCCGCACGAACTGAAGGACACCGCCGTCGCCGCGTACCGGGGGCGGATCTACGTCATCGGGGGGACGGAAGAGCCGCCCGACAGCGCCGTGCAGGACAGGGTTCAGGTGTATGACCCGGAAACGGACACCTGGACGGACCAGGCGCCCACGCGGAGAAAGCACAGCCACGCCGCCGCGCTGGTCATCAATGATCAACTGTACATCGCGGGCGGGCTGACCCCTAGCGTAACGGACAACGGTGAGATGATGAACTCGCAGAACGTGGAAGTGTACGATGAACAGTTGCTGGATTGGACGCTCGTCCCGCAGCCAAACGTGGCGGCAAACAACCTGGGAGCCTTCCAGATCGGACAGAGACTCTACTTCATGTTGGGTCGGGAGTGTTTCGACACGGGGGTAGACATTCCGGAAGACGAGGCGTACGCCCTCGACGCGTGGACTGACGTCAAGTCGTTTGAGTTCGGTGCCTCGGTGGTGTGCTGCAATGTGGATGTGGACGTCCTCATGTGATATACCAACCATTTTCTCGTCCAGAGAAAATATAGACAGAATCAATCAGAGATGGCAACATGGTGATATTTTTGTACCAGTAGCAATGCTTGGCACACCAAGTGTGGCAGAGTCGTTGAGTTTCCAAATCGAAGCTACTGCATGGTCACCCTGTGGTTGGATAACGCATTGCAAAGCATGTCGGTTGTCATGTATTGGGCCAGGAAATCCTACCTGCATATGCAGGTTAGTGCAGGTAAAAGTGGAGCCGTGCAGGAATTTCTGATGTCTACCTGCACCAGTCCAAAATCCATCCTGAAATGCAGATCACATAGGATATAAGTTGGCCTCAAGTCCACATTTTTCTGTGGCCTAAAAAGTACAAAATGTTGTTGTTACAAAACGTACCTGCACCAGTGCAGGTATCTAGAAAAACGGATGTCATGTACCTGTACATGTGTATTTGTAAAGTAAAGCCCTGATCACAATCCGCCATACATGCTTTTTGTCCGTATGTTTTTTGGGAGGCCACGTCTGCTACGTTTTTTCTGAAAACGTGGGGAAGTAGTGGCGTCTACGCACGTCACTCGCACGGTTGTGCAAAGTGTAAGAGTGTGGTCTGCACGCCACGTCTGGCCATGAGCGGTTGCGTGCATCGTTCATTGCACAAGTGGTGAGTTGTACGTGCTTACAACATACGATCTCTGTGCGATTGCAACTTTACCGTAAGGAGGCCGTACTCACACGTGCTTCTTCCGTACGGTACGTACGGGGCACCCGCATCGCCCGTACTCGCACATGTGTGGTGAATCCGCAGACCGCATGCAGAAAAAGTTTTTCATGCACTTAAAGTTCTACGGCATGTCTGCATGCTCCCAAATCCGTAAGATTCCGTACGGAGGTGGTACTCACCACGCACGGATGCCCTACGTTTGCCCACATTTTTGCACATAGACAGCACACAGAAGCACATACAGCGGGTTGTGACCAAGGCTTAACAGAGCTTTTGTTGCACAAGGGTGTTAGTCTCTAGTAGCAGTATTTAAAAAGAGCATTCAACTATTGACAAACTTGGCCACACAGTACAGCCATTTTAACCTTCTTCCTGCTACCCAGTCTTGTATACAAAACAAATTTGGTGCCTAAAAGGTACCACAGCAGGAAGAAGGTTAAACAGCAGTTTTTAAACTAACTATTCATTATACATGTATAATTGAAATGTGGTGTATTTAAATTGTGTTATATTTAAACTGTCGTTCGAAAGTGTATCCATACACTTTATTCTTTGTAAATACAGTTTTGATCTGTTTTTCCAATTGTAAAGAAGACATTCCATGAAGAGTTCCATTTCTTCATTTGTATATTTTGTTTAAAGTTATGCATGAAATCAGTTATTTATGATTGTGCAATATACATATTAACATCAGCAATCGGCAGCTTCATAAAAACACGATAGGTTTGAACATGATTTTTTTTTTAGATAATACATGTACAATGTTTGTGTTTGAGGAAATGTGATTTGGTGAATAAGGTTGTGGATTAAATAAGCTTCCGGTAAGGCCATGTTGATTTAATTATATGGATGACGTCCTCTGGAAACCTCAAAACTGATGCGAACATGCAAATACAAAAAAAGTTTGGCAAAAAAAATTTCCTTCATTATGAAATCTAAGTGGTCATAAAGGTCGAAATAAATGACTAAACACACAGAGTATGGTATGGCGAATTACTATAGTATAACACTCTGCATTTTCATTTCTTCACATTTTCCTCTTTTCCTGAATTGATTTTGGCATTCTATGACATTAGTATCGTTTTCCAATACTATGGAACAGTATGGTCGAAAACTTATTTTTTTATGGAAACGGAAGAAAATCCATGCGCGCGTAGATGTCATCTATATAATCAAATCAACATGGCCTAACCATGTAAAATAGCCCTTTCATTCATACATTTCTTTCGAAAACAGGTAAATGAATCTTTACTGTACATTTGGTGACAAGTTGAAGTTTTAAAACATGACGCAGCTCAAACGTCGAAAATATGGACCAAATTTGTAAAATTTTTGCGGATTGGCTAGTTTGACTTTATGGAATAAAAAGATATTCTCTTTGGTAGCCATTTAATTTTTCAAGTTCAAGTAAAAGAAAATTTTATACTCTTTGTAGCTCATTTATACCTTAAAGGATTGGCAAAGGCCAAGTACAATTTTTCATGTGTTTTTCCTTCTACTTTGCATTTTGCAACTTTATTGCCAGTCTTTATGTCGTACATAGTTGTGCCCATTTCGGTCAAGAGTTGGAAATGCAAAACAAAAACAGACATTGGTGAAATTTGACAAACACATACCACCACTCTTTGCATTTGTTAAATTGACTAAATTCACTAGCTAGTGAAGTTACAATGATATTACAATTACATAAATGGCAGAGGTATAATGATTGAGGTGAGAGGTATATTGAAGCACTTCTATATTTCTATCTTGAAGATCTTCTATGTAATGAAATGACAGAGTTCGGGAATTTTCAGCTGTTATTGATGTACAGTATTATACACAAGTAAAGTTTATTATTAGTATTATTGTTTCTAACGTCGCCCTAGAAAGGAATAAAAATGAACCGTATGTTCCTATGTTTTGTGTGCTTTTTGTGTCACTGTATGTCTTCAATAATGCAGCACACCGGTTTTCTCGAGCCCTCTTTCTTAGCCTCCCTTCTCTCCCTCGAGCTCTCTCTTACGTATTGAAACATTGATTGAAACCTTTAAAGGGGCATTACATGTATGTAGCAGACAAAAACAGTTGAACGTGAGAAGTTCATCAGTGAGTCACTGACGCTGAAGAAGAGCGGTGGATGTCACTCGAAACGTCCGATTTTTTTTTCTCCGTAAGGCCATGTTGTTTCCTTATATGGATGATATCCGCGCTCGCATAAATTTTCGGCCGTTTCCAAAAAAAAAGTTTTCAACCATACTGTAAATATCGTACAAAACAGTTGCAAAATGAGCAAATATATTCATTCATTCACATATACCGCAAGTTGCAAAAAAATAGGGAAAAGATACCAATGTCATAGAATAGCACCAAACGAAAAAGACGAAAATGTGAAGAAATTAATTTGAAGAGTAGATTATTTGTCTCTTTGTCATACCATACTCTGTGCCATTTGTTCCACATTCTTGACCACGTAAGAGTTCATAATGAAAGCAACTTTTTTTTGCCAAACTTATTTTTTATTCGCACGCTTGCATTAGTTTTGGGGTTCCCAGAGGATGTCATCCATATAATCAAATGAACATGGCCTAATAGTAGAGTTTGAATTTCATATGAGCATCTATATAATCATGTACCACCAGCAAACATGTCTTAGCGTCCAGCCGAATACGTATAACAGTCAGAACCATCAGTTGCTGAAGGCTTCTCTCTGAGGACATACTTGCTTAGACCTGTAAGTCCCCGTGGCCAAATCAGAGCGTCTTTCTGGCACCGCAAAAGGAGATAGCAGCATAAATCAAGGGTCTAATAACGAGCACCGACCGCGCCGCCATATTTGGGTTTCTGGGCCACGTCCCAGGGAATTGAGCCTGGCTCCTCTCGTGTGTCAATAGCCTGGTATCCAGTCTGATTCGTGGTCGGGGCCGAAAGAGCTCTGTCCCGCCCGCCTCACATAGGTTTCCCGGTGTTGGGGGAAACCAAATCCCTAAGCATACTGTACCGTATTAGCGTAACACTCCTACCGGGACGGCCTGTTGCACTGGGCGGGGGAAACTATTGGAGCCCCCGAAGGCACAACCTGCCCGAGCACCCCAATACCCCCAATCACGTATTAAAGACTGGATACCAGGCTAGTGTGTCAATACAACGCTGGATCTGTCCGCTTCACTGAAATACAACCACAACATAAATCTGTCTTGTCTGGCATCAAACTGGTAAATTTATGAGTTTCGAAACGAGCCACAACTACTTCCCACTAGAGTAAAATTATCCAGATCGAGCCAACTTGATTCGCTTCGAGCTGGATCCAGCCGGATCGAACCGGATCAAAGCGAATCAATTCGGCTTGATCCGGACAATTCTATGCTAGTGGGAATGGGTTAGACGGAGACCACTGGGCAGTCAATGAGCGACTAAAAACCCAGTGATTCGCTTTGATCCGGCTTCGAGCTGGATCCAGCCGGATCAAACTGAATCAATCCGGCTCGATCCGGACAATTCTATCCTATTGGGAATGGGTTAGACGGAGACCACTGGGCAGTCAATGAGCGACTAAAAAAACACTGAAAGATCATCGAGAGACCGTTGATGACACACCTTGGAAACCACTCATCAAAACATCACCCAGAGATCAGCCGTAGACCTTCGGGATCTTCGAAAGGTCGTTGAAATCCGATCGGCGTTGAAAGGCATTGAAGAGATCATTCAGCGCTCACGAAAAGAGCGTTCAGAGATCTGTTATACGTTTGACGTTCGATTGCCTCTCCTCTGTGAAGTCTACTCTCCAAGCAGAAGTTGATGGCCCGTTTTTTTTTTGTCGCTACCCACACCAACTGTTGAACCACAGTGACACATTATATTGCCCTTGACCATTTACACCATCCTGTTAACGATTTCGAATAGTTGCGCTAACATTGGTTTTTAACTTGTCGCAGTAACTGATTCTCTGACAAATACAATGCTGTATAACCTTTTTACTCCGTATGTTTATGTAAATATGTTCCAATTATGTCTCTACCCGAAATGTAAATGCATGCCTTTAATAGTAAGTAAATACGTTTTAATCATGTCTATATTCGAATTTTGAATGCAGGTTTATGTTAATATGTTTTAATCATGTCTCTATTCGAATTGTAAATGTCCTAACGCAATTCAGCCGTTTAGGCTGCAATGTTTGTGGCATTGGTATTGAAATAAATAAACCATTTCATTATTATTACAGCACCTTGGGTCGCGAATTGGACCCTCTCTGGCCAATGGATACTACCTGGGCAATTTGATACTGTTTTTTTGCCACCCTATAATAGGATCTGCTTGGAGATTATGTGAAGTCCCCCTTTGATAATGTAGTTGTAATCTGCATCAATAGAATGGTACCACTTCATAAAATATGTGATGTGCGGGGTCGAAAGTTCCCAACTGTGCGTGCGACCCGGGTAAGTTTACATCTAATTCTATCTCAACTGACGACATACGAATCTGGGTGGAACCAGGCTATTCATGGATGATTAAAGCATCTGCGCCGGCAGCTGCGATCGAACCTATGATATCAAAGTCGTGCTACATGGAAACATTCCATATAGATATTAGCCTGGAATGCCGTTTTGGGGTCACTAGGCCAGGGTGGTAGGTACGGTTCATATTTACTTGGTCATTTTAAATTTAGAATATAAGGCCACACCAAGTTAATTTCTTGGTTAACGGATTCGTCCGCTTCATTTTTTTCTGATTTGAAAAAAAAAAATCAGAATCAACTGCAAAATGCTCATATTTTGCCCTGAACAGTTGAAAACAGTCCTTTTCTTCCTAGTTGTTACAGTTATTCCATCTTTCAATGCAGTGGTATCATTAAAAGTTCAAAATTCATTGTTTAAATTTTGAACCAGCCTGGTGTGTTGACTTCATGGCTCTTATCGTACCATTTGGGGCTATAATAGGATACCTAGGCCTGTATTTTTATTCTTATTTCAGTTTTCGCCCGCCTGCTCCATTATTTTTCTACAAAAATCCGTTAACCAAGAAATTAAATTAGTGTGGCCTAACGATATATCTGCGCAAAATATATATTTGGTGAAGTATCTCTAGATAGTATATTCTATCATCAAGAGACCTACTAATAGAGAGAAGAAAACAGTTCTTTCGAAAAAAGGCATCTGAATCTTTACTGTACATTCGGTTGACAAGTTGAAATGTTACAACATGACGCAGCTCAAACGTCGAAAATAAATAACGGTCTAAATTTAAAAGTGAGAAATGTTTGATGATTGGCTGGTTTGGATTCACATGTAGCTGCTAGTTCGTCGACACACTAGTTTCAGTCACAACAATGCTGGTGGGAACTTGTCCATATACCTCGTCAAAACAGCCTCCAGTTTAATTTGGGACTTCCAGTTTAATTTGGGACTAATTCCTATATCTCAGCAACCTTACATCTAGATGGGCTAATATCGTAAACTATTGGTAAAAATTATGTAAGAAGTATGTAGCAGCCATCTAGGACCCCTTGGGGATTAACCCAATAATGCAGAATTCTCCAGAATTCTGGGACTGCATCCAGAATTCTGGGAACTGCATCCAGAATTCTGGGAACTGCAGCCTGAATTCTGGGAACTGCAGCCTGAATTCTGGGAACTGCAGCTGAATTCTGGGAACTGCAGCCTGAATTCTGGGAACTGCAGCCTGAATTCTCCAAAATTCTGTGCAGAATCCTACAGAATTGGGTTAATCCCCATTGGGTCCTCAATGGCTGCTACATCTACATATATCTTACATTATTTTTACCTATAGTTTATAATATTAGCCCATCTTGATGTACGGTTGCTAAGATATGAAATAGTCCCAAATTAAACTAGAGGCTGTTTCAAGTTTTTTTACATATCAAGTCCGAAATACTTAGCACTAGACTTAAGAGTTGAATAATAACATTTATGGTAATATCCGGTTCATAAAGGAGAAATTATCTCCATTTGACATCGACAATAATGGCGTTGTACGTCTGATAAAAAAAACACTGTAAACAATATATTTCATCCATACCATGGTATGGAGTGAAATATAATGAGAGGTGGTGGCTACTGGCGTCGTTTCCATGATTGAGGTATTTTTCACATGTGGCAGCATCCAAATGCTCACCCATTAAATATTAAAACCTAAAACATTAGGACGTTCAAGCAGATGTAGACAGGGAAGAACGCAGAATTCTTGACACTGTCCCCATTTTCGGACATTCTTCCCAACATCTGCTTGACCTATATATTTGTATTCCAATACCACTTTGCAGTCGATTTAAAGGCATCCAATGCAATTTCATGGAGATATTCTGAATAAAGCAATCCCTGTGATATTGGCAGATACTGCCTCAAAGATGCACATTTGAGTCAGTATTTCATACTTTGGGCAGTTTAAAAAAACTGTAGAAACAAGCCCGTTATTTTTGGGTGGTACCCTAAAAATCACCTCTGGATCCTTCCAGTAACTGTTTTTTGTCACAATTTTGGGAACTTTTGCTTCTTGTATGTTCATATTCATTGGGATAGTGCTGTTTCAACTTAGTATGTACATAAGTGACTAGAATATAGAATTTCAAAAATCTGGTTTCCAAGCCCCAAAAACTGCACTTTCGAATTCTGACGCATATCCATAATAAAACGAGGCAACCAAGGGACAAGTTAAAGATGATAACGATTTTCTTCCAACCATCTGTTTGAATATTCTCCCATTAGTACCACTTTACAGTCAGTTTGAGATATCCTATGACTACAAACATGTAGATGACAAGAAAGACGATGACGGAGATGGAGTTGTTGACGTCGCCCCTGCGCGGCGTGCGTGAGTTCAGCGCCGCGTGGTAGTCCTCGTACTCATCGTCGAAGCCGGACGGGACCGCCGGCGTGGTTAGACCGGACGCGTCGGCGGCGGCGTCCGCAGAGCAGACGCACACGCACGGCACGTTGGGCGGCACGTCCCTGCTGTGCAGCGTGAAGTAGCACGCCGGCGGCCCGGCGTCGTCCCCTGAACACCCGTAATAGTAACACCGGGGAACCGGCGTTGAAACAACCGGCGGCGCGGCTGGGGTGGTCGCCCCGTTGAGAGGAGCACGTCGAGTCGGTGAGTGACCTGTAGCAGTGATGTGGTCAAAACCGGGAGGATTTTCTCTCCTCTTTCTATCCACTGCTCTCCGGTACATCACATAATCCGACAGAGACCACTCGTGAACAGCGTTGTCCCGTTGCACTAGCATGTCATCCGACGCTCTCCCTTGCCTAAGTCTTCGGGCGAACTCAAACGAACGACCGCCGGGGTGTCTGCCAGTGTTCCCTGGTACGACGGCTGATTTCGTTGCCCTTTTTGCGGCCATACTGTCTGTGTTGCCCACCAGTAGTATCCCTTGCCACAACAACACCACGATAGTTTCCTGTACCAGCCATCGCAACGTCCTCATTTCCCTTCAAGCCTCACGGTCCCAGCATATCTGTCAAAAAAAAAAAGAACAGATTTAAAATTTGCCTGATGAAGACCTCTCGTGATGGCGACTTTGAAATGAAAATTAAACGGAGGAGCGGCTATCAAAGAACGCTACTTCAAGCAATCGCCTCAAACAAACTACAGACGTAAATCGTGTGATTGAAGCACGGCTACGGCGTCGAATAACATGATCCCACGCACCACACAGTACACCACAAGTATCCTTGTCATGTATAACCAATGGGCGGGACTGGCACTAGTACTGTACACTGCAGATTACTCGCTCCGCCCATTGGTTATATACAGTACAAGGGGATTCTTAGTAGTCTAGTTTGGACCAGAAATCACCGAGTTGGGTGGGACTGTCACACACAGGAAACGATATCAAAGCCTTTGGTTATGTACTTTAGGCCACAGCAAGTAATTTTTATGGATGACATCAGCACGCGCATTACTTTTCGCCTGGTTTTGCGAAACAAGAAATTTTGTTGCCTTATGACAGTGATCAACATGCCGAAAATGGGCAAAGATGTCTGTTGCCATGCCGCGGAAAGGCAGATAACTATGAGGAGAGATACGGAGACAAGATAAGGCTCTGATTAATGTTTTGTTTCTTACTTTGATGCAGTGGTACGCGATGCTGGCTGTGTATATGTGATGTTCCCACTGAATCAAAACCATTTGTACAATGATTGAGTCAAAATTTAAAAATGTAGGAACCTTGTTTTTTCGGCCCGTCTTGTTTTTGTTTCGCCCGCTCGCATTGGATTTGGAGTCTGCGGAGGATGTCATCCATAAAATTTACTTGCTGTGGCCTTAGCTCATTGCATACTTCCCTGACGCTTCTCTTAGTTCATCAGCTTTAATTACCAACTGTTACCTGATTTTCTTCTTAATTTCTCCAATCGGAGAAACTGTCTTGACATGTCTAGGAAAAGTGTAACGGTCGCAAGGACATTAATCTTTGCTAGAGAATGTTAGGCCACAGCAAATAAATTTTATGGATGACATCCTCCGCAGACTCCAAATCTAATGCGATAGGGCGAAAAAAAACAAGACAGCCAAAAAAAATAAGATTCCTACATTTTCAAATTTGGACATTTATGAGCTTTGTTGAACAAGAAATGATACCTATATTGGGCTTACTGCTAACTACTACAACATCCATTTCTGACTGAAAAAATATAAGTTTTTCAATCATTGTACAAATGGTTTGGATCCAGTGAACATCACATATAAAAGGAATGAAATACATCACTGCATCAAAGTAAAAGACAAAACAATAAATCAGAGTCTTTTCTTGTCTCCTCTCTTCATAGTTATCTGCCATCCACCTTCCGGCATGGCAACAGACATCTTTGTCCATTTTCGGCATGTTGACCACTGTCAGAAGGCAACAAAATTTCTTGTGTTTTTTTTTTCCAAAATCAGGCGAAAATTAATGCGCGCGTTGATGTCATCCATGAATATTACTTGCTGTGGCCTTAGGAGAGTTTCCAGACTGCCCAGACATTTGTCTTGGCATATTCCTGGGGGCAATAGTGGAAACCAGAGAGTGAGATAAACAGAGATTGCTCCGTTACCACATAACATGATTCCAAACATGTTCAAGGAACGACTTGAAGGCATCCAATGCAGTTTTTAGGGCTTGGAAACCCGATTTTTCAAAGTCAATATTCTAAGCTAGTCGTTTAAATTTATCTACATACTGTTGAAACCACACTATTCCAATGTATATTGACCCTCTTGGAGCAAAAATTCCCAAAATTCTGACGGAAAATGGTTACTGTAAGGGCCCTGGGCTGATTTTTAGGGTACCACCCAGAAAATAAAGGACTCATCTTTGGGCTTATTTCTGCAGTTGTATGAAAAAATGACTCAAATTTGCTAATATGAAGCATATGACAAAGATTGCCTTATTCTGAATATTTCAATTTTTGCTGCCATGAAATCGCATTGGACGCCTTTAAGGACACATTTCTTTCCAACTGGAGACAAAAGATAAGAAGCTTCAGTAAACGTGAGACATACTCCAAAGTCAAGAAAACCTTTACCATGGAAAATCACCTCTCAATGATTCAAAACAAATCCTTAACAACTGGTACAACAAGACTGAGAATTGGTGCACATTGCTTAGAAATTGAGAAGGGTCGTCACAAAAATATACCAACCGAAAAGAGAATATGTCCAGCCTGCAAAGACAAAGTTGAAGATGGCTACTATTTCTTAATGATTCGTCCTTGCCAGAACGAAGACATGAAAAGACTAATTATGTGATGTAAGAACAAAACAACGTTACAGAGAAACAGAGAAATTTTCAAAATGCTTCTACCATGCCCCTTCTCTGTTTCCTCATTTGCATGAAACAGTTTCATAGTCAAATAACACTTAATAGCTATCATGACTATAAACTATTTCTACTAGTGGACTAATCTAACTAGAATAAATCTATATATGTTATAATGGAATATTACATTTCACATTGCTGTGACATGGTTTCTCTTTTGTATAGCATTATGTACATATTGGCCTAGATAAACAGATACAGTCGGGGCATGATAACAGCATGTTGAAAATTTCTCTACTTGTCCCAGGTAGTATTATTTTATTCTTACATGATATTATTAGTTTCTTCGTTATAGCAAGGACATATCATTACGAAATGGTACTTATCTTTTTATTTTTTTAAATTTTTTTTATTTATTTATTTCTCATAAAAAAACAAGATACAAGGTGAAGTAAATTAAATTATTTAAAAACACTGTGCAGGAGAAGATGAAGACTTAATGGCTTGTACAAGCCCTTCTCCTTAAACATAACAAAACAATCACAATTAAACTGATTAACTGAAATACTTAAATGAAAATCAAGGCAACTGAAGAGAAAATATCAACAAATCGTACTTGAGTAACCATTATACAGTTAAAAACAAAATTATTATGTTTACCGAAGGAAAACATATTGTTTTTACTCAGTTTCTTCTCCTTCTTCTTCTCCAAACAGTGACCTCTGACCTGACCAACGACATGATTTGTTTACGTCTGTCACCATAGTGACTGGTGTTGGGTTACATAATGTTGCAATTTTATGGTCTGCTCTGCTCCTGTCAGCATATACTAGTAGTACATGTATGTGAATGTGAATGTGTTTGAGTAAGAATTAACAGAGCAGACCATGTCCGAAGGTAAACATTATGCATTTGCTTTGCAAATGTTACTTCTCTAGTCTTCAACTTTGTTTTGCAGGCAGGTATCTTTTTGTGACGACCCCTCTCCCACACTACCAAGAAAATAACCACAGCAAATTGGGGCTTCTCGTTAATTGCCCGAGGGGTAGCTACGTGTTAACAATATCTATATTGCCGCAAATATATTTTACGTGCGTTTGACGCACCACGAAATTACAAACGTATGATTTATACGTGCAGATGGTAACTCTGTGGGGTGCTTTTTGTCCCACGAACAACAGTTGCCCTGAAGATTTCAACGTCATACTCATATAATACACTGTTGTATATAATTGATGACTTTATTGCAAATTCCTACCCGAAGGCTAATTGCGAATAACAAAGATTTTGTTTCCTTTTACTCCGATGCAGTGATATATTTCATTCCTTTTATATGGTGATGGCAGCTGTGTATATGTGATGTTCCTACTGAATCTAAACCATTAGTACAATGATTGAATAAATAAACCATTTGATTGCTTGATTGATTGTTTCAGTGAGAAATGTATGTTGTAATAATTGGCAGTAAACTTAGCACAATATAGGTACCATTTCTTGTTTAACAAAGTTTATGATGTCCAAATTTAAAAATGTAGGAATTTTTTTTTTGCCCGCCTTGTCTTTTTTTCGCCCTATCGCATAAGATTTGGAGTCTGCAGGGGATGTCATCCATAAAATGTACATGCTGTGGCCTAGAGGATAAGAAGAAAAAGGAGCGACTGCCACGCGTCAGATAGATTAGAAGCGGCGTGAGAAAGATCGGTTTGACTTGATAACGGTTTATTTGTATCCGCGTGTTGCCTTGACTCGATGGCTAAGGCCACAGCAATTAATTTTTATGGATGACATCAGCGCGCGCATTAATTTTCGCCTGATTTTGGGGAAAAAAAACAAGAACTTTTGCTGCCTTCTGACAGTGGTCACCTTGTCGAAAATGGGCAAAGATGTCGGTTGCCATGCCGGAAGGTGGATGGCAGATAACTATGAAGAGAGGAGACAGGAAAAGGCTCTGCATGATTTAATGTTTTGTTTCTTACTTTGATGCAGTGATATGTGATGCTGACTGTGTATATGTGATGTCCCTACTGAATCAAAACCATTTGTACAATGATTCAGTCAAAATTTTAAACCGTAGGAACCTTGTTTTTTCGACTCGCCTTGTTTTTTTTCGCCCGCTCGCATTAGATTTGGAGTCTGCGGAGGATGTCATCCATAAAATTTACTTGCTGTGGCCTTACATGATCAGTATGCGTTTGCCTCTGGGCGATTTGACCCAGGTTCACCGTGTTCTCAGAGCTCCTTTAAATCGGGTTCTGTCGAATGTCAGGGGGTCGTGGTTCAATATGACCTGCCATTTCTTTTCTGTAATTAACTTCCAAACTCCTATCAAAAGAAGCCATAGAGATTGTCCTGCCTCTAGAGGAACAACCATTATTGTAAGGTTGCATCTATTTAAGTCATTCACGTAGTAGACCCAGTTTTATTTTGACTGTACCTAATCATAATCGGTAGCCTCCGTAGCAGGCTTATAGAATTGGGGGTTTGGTGGTCTTCGGCTGTTTTCTGGTTAGCCCAGTTCTAAAAACGGGGGTAATTCAACCAGGCTGGCTATGTTGTCTATATGCAATCAGAAAATAGCACATAAAAGATCCCAAAGACCCTGAAGACCCCCCCCCCCAAAAAAAAAAACACCCAGGTTTTGGGATGCTATGGAGGCTAATCATAATGCCTTTTAGCCGAAGACGTATAAGACATACAAGATATAATATGATAGCAAAACA